AGGGGGGGGGGGTAGGAAGAGGGTTTCTAAAGGTGGCCGCGTAGAGCATGATTATACCCTATCAAAGATGAACCAGTTTTAAAAATACGTTAGCATTCTTTCACTCAGTCACAAGTCTTTGTTATTTAAAGAGGTATGTTAGAACTTAGGTTATGTGTGCAAGCACTAAAAGGTAGAGTGATATGTTATTAAGGAACCCAGAATCAGAAAGCAAATCAAAAGGATAGAAAGCATGTCAAAGTAAAATTTGAAAAAAAAGCTATTAAGTAGTGTTTGCCAGGGGGTGCAAATTTCTGAGAAGTTGAATAAAAGCATTTGTAGTACATGCCATCAATAAAAATAACACCCACAACAGCAAACTGCCGAACACTATTACCCACATAACGCTTTCTTTGCGTAATTTGGTTTGACGTGTCTGTTTCTTTCAAACCCAGACCCCATTAATGGCAAATGGAGCGGGTGGACTGCTTGGACCCAATGCTCTCCTTGTGGTGTTGATACCAAGCGTCGCACAAGGACTTGTACTAATCCTGCACCTGCGTTTGGTGGTCGGGACTGCATCGGGATCGACGAAGATTTTGAGCTTTGTCCTTTAAGGTCTATATTTTGCCCTGGTAGGTAAAAATCATAAAACTGGACTAATCCTTTAGTGGAAAAACGTTTTACCCTGAGAACATGGACACCAAATAGGGCCTTTGCAAAAATTACGATAGAAACGCACTACCCTATCATATGCTTTCTAAGGCAAGAAGGCGATTGGTTCATCCATTGGAAATCTCTACTGAGTCAGTACTATTTATATAAACAGAGGAATGTCAATTATTGTTAAAAACAAAAGTAAAATCCCCATCTGCATAATGAAGAGTACTAGTACCTTTATAATGCTTACTCAGTCTCGTAATTTGGTTAGACGTAGCTCTTTCTTTCACACTGAATTACTAGACCTAGACCCTGTAAATGGCGAATGTAGTGAGTGGACGGCCTGGACTCAGTGTTCTACTTATGGGGGTAGTCTCAGGTTTCGCACTAGGACTTGTACAAATCCTACACCTGCATTTGATGGTCTCGATTGTAACGGGTCTAATAACATGACTGAACTTTATCCTTTAAGTTATGCTAGTAAGTAGTAGTCATGAACTGGACTAATCCTCTGAGAAAGAGATACTACTCTATCAGAAAAAATTGTCACGAGAGCATAGACAACAAATAGAGCCTTGGCAAGAATAAACCTCATGTTTCTCTCGACATCTGCACCTCAAAGCAGCGAGGTTTCAATATGATTTTATAAATTTTGCCTCCCGTTTTCAGTCACCACAAACGATCCTCCAACAACTCAACCAGGTAAATAGACTGATCTCCTCCCTCACACTGTGCTTCTTCACCGCTTCCAGCTTCACTTTTATCTAGAATGCACTTAACACAACTGAGAAGCAACTATTTTACCGCTAAATTGGCTCACAAAAGAAAGATATTTTCTCAGTCTCTAAGACTTCGTCGTTTATGTAGTGATGACTCTTATTTCCACCACAAATCAGAGTCAATGTGCCAGTTTTTCGATAAACGTGGTTACCCTGATTCTATCGTTCAAGCGGGTTACCACCGCGCCCAACTTATTGATCGACATTCAGCACTACAAACGTCACAAAAGGAAGATTCCGACCGCATTCCATTCACTCTCACGTTTCACCCTCACAACCACTCAGTTAAATCCATCATTCTTAAAAACTTTAAATTACTTCAAAACGATCCAGAGACAAGCACTATCTTTTCGCAGCCTCCGCTCATTTCATTCAAACGCGACAAAAACATAGGCAATTTTTTGGTCAGAAGTTCTTTTCAGACTAATGACCAACCAGGCACTTTTAAATGCGCTCGTGCACGATGCAAAACGTGTCCTTTCATTCACAACACTGATAAAATATCGGGACCTAAACGATCCATTAAGATCACCGATCACTTCACGTGCACCTCCGCCAATGTAATCTATTGCATAACTTGCACTTATTGCAAAAAGATATACATCGGCGAAACAGGCAGAAGACTAGGTGACCGATTCCGAGAACACCTTCGAGACGTGGAAAGGAATGACAAGGACACATCGAAACCAGTCGCTAGACATTTTAATTTACCTAATCATTCTAAGCAACATATGGCAATCTGCGGTCTTTCCTT